GGGGGGGGGGGACCCTGGTGCTGCTGGGGGTCCCCCCCTTGCTGCCCCCGAGGCCACCCGGGAGCCATCCCAGCTTTTCCTTCCCGAGGGAAACGGGCACTTTTGTTGGCTGGAAAGGCTCTTTTTTTAAAGCTAAATTTGCATGGCGGGCACCCGGGTGGGCTCGGGGGAGTTCCCGAGGGGTTTGGCAGGATCCAGCCCCCCTTTCCCGGCCTCTCCCGGGGCTCCCCCGCTCCCTGCAGGGGGAACAGATCTCCCCCCCCTCGGTGAGAAGCTGGATTTTTGGCCAGACTCCGGGCTGTACCTGTTCTGCCAGGGCTGAGCAGACGCCTGTCACCCAGCTCTGCACCTCTTTGTTTTTCTAAGTAGCTTAGGAGGAGAAAACAGGAGTCAAAAGGAGTGTCCCCTCGTTAAGTGCCTGCCAGTTAAACCCATAAACATCTGCTTATTATAAGGTGTAATTTCCTTGGCTACCCGTGCTTTAAGCCCAGTTTTTGCCCAGGATGCTTTTTGGTAATGACCTTATGCAAATACCTCCTGCGAATTGAATTCAAATCCTCCTTGGTTCTCGTCTTTAATTTTTTTTTTTTTTTTTTTTTTTTTTTTTCCTCTTTCTTCCCCCTCCTTCCCCAGTACTACGAAATGTCGTACGGTTTGAATATTGAAATGCACAAACAGGTGAGTAATTTCGAGGGGGGAAGTTGTGATTGATTGATCTCCTGTTGCCCTTTTCCTCCACCTGAGGTAAAATCGGCCCTGATTGCACTAAATAGGGAATAAGTGCTGGAGGCAGGGATGTGGCTCCAGGTGGGATCCCGTGGCCCGGCTGTTAAATTGGCAGCCGCGGCTCCACGGCGCTGGCTGGGCTTATTTTGTCGATATTCACCAGGAATTTGGGTTTTTAGGCAGGGTGTTTATGCAGAGAGGTGAGAACAGCCTCTCCTCCCGTGCTGGGGAGGTCAATACCTGGAATAGCGCGTTCCCAAGGCTTGGAAAACACCGATAGGGGCTGCGCCGGCCTCCGCTGGTGTTGTGGGTACAACAGGGCTGTTTGTAAGGTCATCCCCTGCTCCCGGCCCTGCCGGAGCGTGAGAGCGAGCAGGGAATTATCTCCAGAGCTCCCCGTGTGTGTTGCTCAACGTCACCGGGCTGTCTTTGCATCTGGGAAGTGAAGCAATGTTTTGGGGCTGGCTGCTCGGGGTTTTGTCGGTTTGGGTTTTGTTTTCTCCCTCCCTTCCAGTCTCCTCTAATGTGTAACTTGCCCGAAGGAAAAAAAATAGAGAAGGCCCCAGCAGAATGTGGTGTGCTACCTTGATAAGATTATCGGTAAAGAGCCTAAAGGCTGCGCACATGATGGTAAAACTTAAAGGAATAAAGTTATTACTGAGATTAGACCCGATTATTTGTGCTGCTGCTGCTTACTGGTTTTAGAAGGAGTTCTAATTAAGAACTTAAGGCAGATAGAAGTTGACATCAACTTCTGGGCTGGCAAATCAGCCCCATTCAACTCCAGAGTGCTTTGGTTTAATAGCGGCATCGCCCTCCTCGCCGGGCGCTGATGAGATGCAAAGCAGGAACGCGCCTCTCTTCTTCCCTCCGGAGTCACGGGGCAGCCAAAATAATTCCTGCTTAGTCTTCAGTTTGTTATAAATATCTGCTTCCCGCTCGGGGCCCGGCTGTCCTGCGGCGGGGCACCCCGAGCCCGGGCAGCGCGGCCGGCTCGGGGCTGGGGAACGGCCCGGGCTTCGGGATGGTGATGGGGAATGGCTCGGGATTTGGGATTGTGATGGGGAACGGCCTGGGGTTCAGGATTGTGATGGGGAACGGCCTGGGGTTCGGGATTGTGATGGGGAATGGCCTGGGATTCGGGATTGTGATGGAGAACGGCCTGGGATTTGGGATTGTGATGGAGAATGGCCTGGGATTGTGGGGTAGGCCTGGGAATGGCCCAGGATTTAGGATTGTGGCGATGGAGAATGGCCTGGGATTTGGGATTATGGTTCTGGGCCCTGGAATGGCCCAGGATTCGGGATTGTAATGGAGAATTGCCCGGGATTTGGGATTGCAGTGATGGAGAATGGCCTGGGATTGTGGGGTGGGCCTGGAATGGCCCAGGATTTGGGATTATGGTACTGGAGAACGACCTGGAATTCGGGATGGCAGGGTAGGCCCGGGAACAGCCCAGAATTTGGGACTGTGGGGTAGGCCCTGGAACAGCCCGGGATTTGGGATTGTGGTGCTGGGAACAGCTTGAGATTTGGGATTGCAGTGCTCGGGAACGGCCCAGAATTCGGGATTGTGGGGCAGGCCTTGGAACAGCCCAAAGTTTGGGATTGTGGGGCAGCCTCAGGAATGGCCTGGAATTCGGCACTGTGGGGCAGGCCAGGGCGGCCTCCTGTGAGGAGGGGATGGGTTTGGGGTGGCCAGAGGGACACGGAGCCTGCGGCCACCTCAGCAGCACCTGGAGGGACCCTGGAGGGACCCTGGAGGGACCCTGGAGGGACCCTGGAGGGATGGAGCTCGGGCTCCTGGGGCAGAGGGGCTCCTCTCCCCAGCCTCTTCCTACCTGGCTGCTGGACGGCTCCGCTCGGTCCTGGGAGATGCTGGAATGACACTCCAGGATGTTGGGTTGATTCGCTCGGTGGAGATGTTGGAATTGTGCTCTGGGATGTTGGGTTGATGCTCTTGGAGATGCTGGAATGACATCCCAGGATGTTGGGTTGATTCCTTTGGTGGAGATGTTGGGATGACACCCTGGGATGTTGCGTTGATGCCTTTGGTGGAGATGTTGGAATGGTGCTCTGGGATGTTGGGTTGATTCCCTCGCTGGAGATGTTGGAATCCTGCTCTGGGATGTTGGGTTGATGCTCTTGGAGATGCTGGAGTTGTGCTCTGGGATGTTGGGTTGATTCTCACAGTGGAGATGCTGGAATGACACCCTGGGATGTTGGGTTGATGCTCTTGGAGATGATGGAATTGTGCCCTGGGATGTTGGGTTGATGCTCTTGGAGATGATGGAATTGTGCTCTGGGATGTTGGGTTGATTCCCTCACTGGAGATGTTGGAATTGTGCTCTGGGATGTTGGGTTGATGCTCTTGGAGATGCTGGAGTTGTGCTCTGGGATGTTGGGTTGATTCTCTCAGAGATGCTGGAATTGTGCTCTGGGATGTTGGGTTGATGCTCACAGTGGAGATGTTGGAATTGTGCTCTGGGATGTTGGGTTGATTCTTTTGGAGATGCTGGAGTTGTGCTCTGGGATGTTGGGTTGATGCTCACAGTGGAGATGTTGGAATTGTGCTCTGGGATGTTGGGTTGATTCTCTCAGAGATGCTGGAGTTGTGCTCTGGGATGTTGGGTTGATGCTCTTGGAGGTGCTGAAGTTGTGCTCTGGGATGTTGGGTTGATTCCCTTGGTGGGAGATGTTGGAATCCTGCTCCGGGATGTTGGGTTGATGCCTTTGGTGGAGATGTTGGAATGGCACCCTGGGATGTTGGGTTGATTCCCTCGCTGGGAGGTTCTGTTCCCAGGACACGCCGAGTGTTTTCCCGCCGGTCCCGGGTGCATCCCGAGGTTCGGCAGCGCGGGATGAGCCCCGGGAGGTGCGGGCAGAGCATCTCCATCCTCCGCGGGGGGCTCGGGGGTGGCCGAGGAGCCTCAGAACTGCCGGTCCCTGCCCGTGCCGGCCTTTCCCGGCCCCGGCAGCCCGGGAGGCGAGCTGTGCGAGCTCCCAGCAGCATCCCGTGCCTGGCCGGGCCCTTCCCGGCGGTGACATCTGCTGCGTGCCCGCTGGAGCCCGGGGAAGCCGGAGCCGGCTCCTTCTTTTAATTGACAGCAGCGCGGAGCAAACAAAGCCAGCCCGGCTGCGCTTCCAGGCGAAAATGGGGCGAGCGGGGAGGGTTTTTGGGGAGGGTTTCCCCCCTTTTGGGGCCGCAGCATCCCCTGAAAGGCATCCCTGGCGCAGCATCCCCCCGGCAGGCATCCCGCAAGGCATCCCGCTAATTGCGGCGTGGTCCTGCCGGCATCTGGCTGAGGGTGGCTGGTCCTGAACAAACAAGTTTATCAGCTGACCTGTTTAGCGGTTGACTTGTGTTTATCTGCACACAATCAAGTAGACTGAAGTGCTTGAATTATTCATGCAGTGTCCTGCCCTCCAGACTTGACTGCTTGTGATTACATCTGCTCCAGACAAACATTGATGGATACTTCATCTTTAAGCAAAGGGGGATTGTCTGTCTGTGGGCTTATATAACAGATTATCTCTTCCACGCTGAATATTAAGTGTGTGCATATGTGGCTGCGTGTGGGGTTGGGTTTTTTTTTTGGGGGGGGTTTGCGGTGGGGTTTTTTTTTGGCCTTTCCCCCCCCCCCCGCCTTTCTTCTCGTTTTGTTTCTCGTTAGGAAAAAAATGGAGTTTCATAAACAACTCCATATGCAAAGGAATATTTAGGAGGTGATTCCCCAGTCGGTTGCGGTGAATCGTTCCTTACATCAGTCTTCCTGCTGAACTCCATTCCTTCCTAAACCCGACTCCAATCAGGAATTTATTTTTTTTTTCTTTTGAAACACCGGCAAAACTTTTTTTTTTTCCTTTTTTTTTCCTTTTTTTTTTTTTTGTTCGGCTTAATTGATTTTTCCAAAAGAAACTTCTCTTCCCCCCCCCCCGTGGGCCACGCAATTGTTTCTGTGCAGATCTCCGTGGATAATCGCCGAGGGCAATAAACCATTCCAAAAGGAAAACTCATTTTGCTTGGGGAAACGGGACACCTCGCAGGACAGAACCTTTGTGCTGCCTTTGATTCCTTGTTATGGCTGAGAACGCTCCAGAGAAGCGCTTCTTGTTTTCCTGCCTTGTGCTTGGAACCAAACCTCAACCCCCCAGCACTTCCCGGGGAAGAGAGGCAGCTTTTTGTCTGTGCCTTTCTGGAATATTCCAGGAGCACAATATCCTTTCTGTCGCGCTCGTTAGCAAGGAGTGCCAGGTAATAATTTGCTAAATACTTCACAAGCCGAGTGATTTGTGCGCCTCGCTCTCAGCCCTCCCGAGGCAGAGGGGAATTCTCTCTCGGATCTTGGCTTTTGGGGGGCTCCTGGCTGAGTTTTGGGGGGGTCCGGGCGAGTTTTACCCCGTTGCCGGTGGTAATTCCCTAATGAGGGGTTGTGTCCTGCCCCTCCACACCCCCGCCCTGAATTTAATTCTCATCAGCCAGGCTCTCCACTTTGCTAATAACGATAGCAGCCACAAATAGCTTTCAACATGCCATTGACAGCCCGCTTGGAGAGAGCACTTGAAATAGTGGTAGACAGCTGAAAGTACCCATAATTGTGCGCCCGAGTGAGAACCACACTGCTCAAGGGCCTGATTTTCATGTGCTTAAAGAGACAATATCCTGGTTTCAACAAATGCTGCTGGTGCTTCACGCCTCGTGTGATTTACTCCTCCTCCTGTGCTGGGGAGGAGGGTTTGGGGGATCTGGGGGCTGTGGGGTGCTCCTCCTGTGGTGCCAGTGCTCCTGCAGCCCCGTTTGCAGGGTTCAGGGGTGCCCTGTGTGTGTGAGTGTAGGGATGGAGTTGTTCTTTCCCAGGGAACGGTGGCGTTCCCGAGGCTGCCGGAGCTCCGGGAGCGCTGGACAAGGCTGGGGTTGGTGGTGAGGTGTCTGTGCAGGGCCCTGGGTAATCC